AGACCATCATCGCATCCGGGGTACAGCGCCTTTCTGTGATCCTCTAACATGCGATCCAAATTCTCCCTCTCCTTTTCAGTTTCGCAGCGTCTCCGTGCATCAGCAATGGTCCGACCAAGATCATCAACGGGATCATCACGTGCCTCTTCTTCACCTTCCCCTTCACCTTCAGCATCCTCCATGAAAGTATCACCGAAATGAGCAAGATAGCTTTCATCGATGAAATCATCCCCTTCTTCATCTTCTTCCATTATAACCCCTCTTTTTCCATGCTTGGTCCAACAATTATAGCTTGGCATGAAACCGTGCCGAAGCAGATGCATGTGAACATCTCTTGAGGAAGAGTAACCCTTCTGATTCTTACAGATAACACATGGACAGATAACAAAACCCCCCTGCTTGTTCGCATTAGCCACTACGAGGAAATCTTTCAAACCCGTAGTGAACTCGCCGGAGAGTCGGTTACCGTACATCCATTGCCGATTCATCTGCATTATTATAATATAAAATATATAATTAACCATCATGCATTTGTTAAACTAACTAGCTACAAACAATATAAATTAAACAATGAACTGCACACATGCATATTTTATCAATGACACACATGCATGAAAGGTTCAAGTTGCTAACCGCGATCGAGGAGGAAAAAATAAATGAGGAACCTCAAGTGTGGCTCCAACACTTCATATCATGTTTGTTTCACCCTCTTAGGGCATTTCATCAAACACCTTGTGTGCATAAGAGGAACCAAAAGCAAACCTACACCCCCTTGTGAAGCTTGTGAAGAGAAGTGGCACCAAATGGCTAAGTGAGCATGCTGAACTGGTATATATAGGGGAGGAGCTTTAGTCGCGGTTGGCCTGGCCAACCGCGACTAAAGGCCTTTGCGCACCTTTAGTCGCGGTTGGCCTGGCCAACCGCGACTAAAGCCCCTCACGTGCACCAGCTGGCCACCGAGCGCCCTGGGCCCAGGCCTTTGGTCGCGGTTCGTCTGCCGAACCGCGACTAAAGACTTCATTAGTCGCAGTTCCTACAGTTTCGCGACTAATGGGGCTGGACGGAAGCCTCTTTTTCTACCAGTGAGACACAGACGAGTATGTTGGAGGTCTTGCTGATCGGATTTGATTTCGGCGAGATGTCTGTGTAGCAGTGGATCGATGAAGCGGCGCGGATCAACCTGAGTGCTCGTGCGTTCGCATGGAGCAGAAACCAACACAGCTCGTGGGCATGCCTAGGGCGTGGCAGGCTGGCACATGTGGCTGGTCGTGTGCTTCCTTGATGGGCTAGGCCCTTGTGTAACCGTGAGGTGGAGGTGATGCTGCCCAGGTGCGTGCAGGCAAGGCCTAGTGTGGTCTACTCGTGGAGATACGATGTGCAGCACACCAACAAGCTTACGTGAGATTTGTTTGGACAAAAAAAAGTCTTTGTGCATACACAAGAGAGGCTACAAGCAAACAGGGACAAGGAAAAGGAAAATTAGTGTTTTGTTTGGACGGAAGTTTTCCTTGCTAGGTCAAGTTTGTTGTGAGTGCTTTCAGGGTGTGTGTGTGCAGCAAGGACAGCGACGGGCATATGGGCTTGGAGGAGTCTGGAGTGCGTCGCGGCAGAATCATGCATACACAGGGCGTCCAAGATATGCATAGATGTGCGGGCAGTCATGGTGCAAGGTGGAGCATGGTTATAGCCAGACAAGTTCGGCTGGGTCGGACTGGTCAGTCTGACGGATCGACGCGAGTCGGTTGTACAGAAGACGGTGGTGGGATCGACGAGGACGACATGGAAGCGTGATGCTGATGGTGACCGGCTTCTGGGCATGGAAACACGTGGCGCATGCCCCGAGGGCTTGTGCGGCTTCGACAAGACTATGGCGCAGGATTGATTCAAGGTGGTGTATACATGGAGCTTGAAGTCGATGAGGCGCAGGGGTGAACTGATCATCTACCATGGAGTCATGTTGAAGGTGGAGCTGGAGTCTGACGGAAGACCTCACTCGGTGTTGATTGAGGGGCTACGACGTAAGACATCAGAGAGTCGAAGCCTATTTCAGCGGGAAAGCGAGTGACATGCAGTTCGGACTGGAGCCCAGTAGTCTGATGGAAGCGTGAAACTCGTCATCGGTCGGTGATGATCGGTGGTACTCTGCAGTGGGGGTTGAGTGGTGTGGGTTCACGACCCTTGAGACTCGACCGGGACAGCGGATGTTCGACGCGGTAATAGCGGCGAGGCGTGCGGTTAGCACGGGGCATGGAGACGGGCCAGGGCTCTAGTGGTCATATATGTGATGAGACAACTGCGAATTTGACTCGGGATGACTACAAGCAATGGTGAAATTCCTTCAAGTTTCAGACAGGCGGTCAAGAAAGAAGCGGTGATGTTGAGTTCAGGTAACTCTTACGTGTGACATCCAATATGTGAGTTGTTCACTTTCACGCAGGTCAGTGATCAGTGTGTGATGTCATGGATGGATACTCTGGAAGTTGGAGCGCAAACTAGAGTAATAAGGAACTTAATTTTGCTCGAATGTTGATTGTGGTCAAGAAAAGAAGGGACTACAAGTTGCAGGTGGAGTCACATGGAGTCTTTGGAGTAGCAGCGTACTCATGGGATAATCTCAAGTCCAATGTACATGGAAGTTTGACGCATTGACGAATTCAAGGTGATGAAGAATATTCGCCAAGGTGGAGTTTGTTAGAGTTGTGTCGAATATTGTGTATAAGGTAGGTTACAGTTGGACTTGTAGTTGTATTGTGTTTACATAGGATGTGGAGTCGTGTCCTAGTAGGACACTTGTATCCTAGGCCTCTCATATATAGCGGGGATAGACACACGATGTAATCTATGCCAACATAATAGCACCGGAACGCAGGGGAAGCCGGCGGCGTGTGCCGGCGTCCAGGGCGACCGGGTGCGGTATTGTGACGGAGTCACGGGGAGGAGTGCCCGTAGTTAGGCCCCGGTGATGTAGCCATATTGGTGAACCTCGCTAACAAATCTCGGTGTCGTGCTCGTGTGATTGTTTGGTCGTCGGATGATCGACGGTATGCCTCCGATTTATTCTAACAAGGAGGAGATCTTGGCTGCCGAGTTAGTCCATCACCATCTTAATAGCCAGCGGCCGTTGTTCCGTGGCTCGATCCTAGGGCACCTTTCGGCGTTGAATCACGACCGAGAGAGTGATCATTTCCTTTTTTGAAAGGACTACTTTGACACAACCAACTCGTTGCTCAACCATCAGAAATGCCGGCTGCGTTTCCGTATGAGTAGGCATATTTTCCACCGTATTAGAGAGGGGGTGGTTGGACGATAACCATTTCGAGTGCAAAAAGGATTCCCTTGGAAAGATTGGCTTCTCATTTTATCAGAAATGCACTGTAGCTATCTGGATGCTTGCATACGAAGTGCCCGGTAATCTCATTGATGAGTACGTTCGTATGAGCGAGTCTACATGCCTGGACTCTATATACAAGTTCTGCAAGGATGTGATTGATGTGTTTGGCCCTAAGTACTTGAGAGAGCCGACTCCTCAAAATACAACCCGCTTGTAGGCAATGAATGCCAGCAAGGCTTTTCAGGGATGCTTGGCAGCATGAACTGCATGCACTGGGAGTGGAAAAACTGCCCTTCCGCTTGGCAAGGGAAGTATACAGGTCATATTAGGGCTTGCACTGTTATACTTGAGGCCGTGGCCTCATAAAATCTATAAATCTGGCACTCTTTCTTCGGCATGACTGAATTACACAATAATATCAACGTGCTTCAACGCTCGCCGATGTTTGCAAGGCGTGTCGTACGCAACAATCCGCCGATAAATGTTACCATGAACGACCACAACTACGACAAATAATACTATCTAGGTCACGATATCTTTCCTCAGTGGACCACTATTACGAAGACAATCCCCAATCTCGTCGGAGAGAAGAGGAAATTTTTTGCTTTGTCAGAAAGTAAGAGAGTGCTAGGAAAGACGTCGAGCGTGTCTTTGATGTTTTGCAATCTCGATGGGAGAATCATTCGGTATCCTAATAGATTTGAAGCACAAAGAAGTTATGGATGGTGATGACTGCTTGTGTGATTATGCACAATATAATCGTCTAAGGCAAGCTTTCGAAACTTATCTATGATCAAGGATTTCAGTTTTAGGGTAAGAATATTGTGTCTAAGCATGAAAAAGCGGCAACATTTTAACAGTACACCTAATTTTATCATGAAATGCATGATTGAAAAACACACATGCAGCTACAAAATAATTTGATTTAAGCATATGTATATGATCGGAAAACACACGTGCAGCTGCAAAATAATTTGGTTTAAATATATGTGTGCTCATGTTGTCAATTATGTTTTATTTGGTTGATTTTTTTATATGTTTGCTTGTGAAATAATGCAAAATAATGGCATATTTGTTGAGAAAGTGCGGCTAATCGGTGTAATACAGGTCGGCATGTTGGACGCACTGTCGTTCCAAATGAGATCCAAACAAATAAAAAAAGACAGGGCGCGTTGAAGTTGCTCTAACCCTGAAGATGGATCGAATATTTTATTTTGGTTGAGTGATTAATTGACTTTATATTCTGTGAGTGCGGAACAAGTGACTTGAAATAACATGAAAGCAGGGGAGGAGGCCAGCCTCCAAGGGTCCCGCTAGCTCTGGCCGCCTTCATGCCGGCTGTTAACGTTTGGCCTCGGCGAGTACCACTTTGAGAAATTACGTGGAGATATTTTTCGATGCTGCCGAGCACGCAAGAGATCTTACGACTTGCATATATCCACGGATAAATCAATTTATTTTGTTACCAAAAGCAACGCGTGGCATGCATCATGCTACGTACAGCGGTGACGCGCCGGCGGGTCGCCGCGCCACGTTTTATTACATCTCCTGACAGAGGCGGCGAGTGGGTACATGGTAGTTAAGACTTAAGATACATAGGTGGCTTCGTTTGACAGACGGCGCCATGGACGGGGCGGGGGTGGGGGAGCTCGCGCGCGGAGCGTCTGCCCTAGCACTCCCTCTGGCAGGTGCAGCGCCTGATTTTGCAGTAGCCGGCCGTCCATTTTGCGCCGTGCTCGCTGAGGCACGTCTTGGTGCAGCTCTTGTCCGAGACGCACGGGAACGAGTGGTGCTGGCTCTTCCCCGTGCAAATGCGCGCCTCCGCCACGCCGATGCCACCGCCGCCGCTGTCTGAAAAAAAATGTCCCGGCCGGTCACAAAGCGTTAGTCCATAACCATAAGCAGCAGCAAATTAATAAGTCGGCGAGCGGCCGCTCAGGCTTACTCACAGGAGGAAAGCAGGAGCAGCACCAGCATCACCGCGCACACGGTCGCCTTGGGCTTGAACTCCATTTGCTTCTGTGGGGGTAGGTAGGTTGATGGAGCAAAGCCTTTTTTTCTCTCTTTAGGTGAAACAAGCTATGGCTTCTGATCCAGGCGACCGTGTTTGTTGTTGCCAGGAAGAGAAGCTCTCTACTTATAGGGAGCTTGGGCCGGAGGAGCGGGCTGCCGTGCATGCATGCAGGTGTATTCGTGGCAGGCGGGCTGCATGTAGCGTGCCACCCGTCGGGCTGGAAGGCCGAGTGGTTCAGCTCCTTGTTCCAACTCAGCGTGCGTCTGGATGCTGCTGTGGGTGAGAGGAGTCGCAACTCTGGACTCTGGTTCGAAAGAATTCGAACCAAACTTCCCTTGTGACGAAGGGGCGTTGGACTAGGAGGATCAATGGTCTCAAAACTCTCAAGTGCAAGCCTGGTCGCAAAAATGGGTCTCGCAAGGCTGCGCCGCTCGCCGTTCAAGTCCCAAACACCTATCCCGCATTGAAGCCAGACAAAAACTTGGCAGGAGCGATGCATTCGTATTCCTCCCGTTCCCTAGTAATCTCCGGCAAAAGCAATCTCTCTTCAAAACCTGATAATAAGGTAAGCAGTGAACGAAATTACATGCGTTTCTACATGAAAATGCAAGCCATTTGATTGAGGAGTCTTGCTACACACACGATGAAATTGGACGATGCACAGACGATGGATTAAATCTGGCCGGACAAACGTTGATTGAGAAGGGCGTCGGCCGCTGGATTTACGTGTCGTGCATAGATCGGCCACTTGTGTCGTGCATGGAGGCCCAAGAGGCCGAGACGATCTTCCATCGTCTACACCACTGCCTGCACTAGACCCCCACCGTGACGCATCGGCCGACTGATCCGTGGTCCCACCGGCGGGCGGCAGGGCAAAGCTCGCCGCGTGCTGTCCTGCATTGAAGCCCACGCCGCCTGTAGAGGAGCCACGAGCCCAAGATGGCTCGCCGATCTACTACCTCGGCGGCCCTACCTACCCGCAGACTACCCTGCGCGCTCTCTGGTGCCCTCGCAATCTGGCTCTACCCGCCGACTACCCTGCGCACTCTCTCGTGCCAGGGCAATCTGGCTCTACACGCCGACTACCCTGCGACCACCTTCTCGTGGGTACCTACCTACGTGCCGACTACCCTGCGACCACCGTCTCGTGGGTACCTACCTACGTGCCGACTACCCTGCGCGCTCTCCCGTGCCCTGGTAATCTGGTATGCATGCACCGCTGCAGCCAAAAGCGACCACTGTCTCGTAGGTACCTACCTACATGCCGACTACCCTGCGCGCTCTCTGGTGCCCTGGCAATCTGACATGCACGCACCGCTGCAGCCAAAAGCGACCACCATCTCGTGGGCAAATACGTGGGCGCCGCATGCACCGAGCCCGCCACGTGAACGCGATCCATCATGCGGCACGCCACGCGGCCAGTCATTGCGCGCGCCCACGCCACGATGCATGCATGCTGCTTCGAGTCCATGCACAACGGACCCGACCGGCTCCGAGCTCATGTTATATAATGCTATCACCGATGAGCGTTATAGCCACCCACAGCACACAACTCCACCGGTAGTAACAAAGCCAGTACGTAGCGCAAGCAGAGAGTTTAGGTCGCTCCCAGCCCGGCCGCTCACCATGTGGACCAAGAAGGTGGCGACGCAGGTGGCTTTGGTCCTGCTTCTCCTTCTCATCGCACGTAAGTGTGTATTATTTTGCTCCGTGGACATTTTCATCAGATATTCAGTTGGATAGTACGCACATATGTTATGTCATTATACATGCATGTTGACGTGTGGCGAACATGAATGGATGCAGAGGAGGCGGCGGTGCCGGGGGCGGAGGCGAAGGTCTGCCGGCAGCGCAGCGCGGGGTTCAAAGGGCCGTGCGTGTCCGATAAGAACTGCGCGCAGGTCTGCCTGCAGGAAGGCTGGGGCGGCGGCAACTGCGACGGACCCTTCCGCCGGTGCAAGTGCATCAGGCAGTGCTGATCATAATATGTGCTACGGCTAGCTGGCCCTCGCCGTACGTCAGCTAGCTAGCCCATGGAATCATACGTCTGTGTACCTACTTGAATGTGTGTGTGTGTGCCGCCTTCTACGTACGTATGTCGTATGTATATCCGTATCACCACTAGCCAGCTGCTGCATCTCGATCGATGCATGCGAGAGAATAATAATAAGAATAAAAACGTACGGTTCATGTTCCGTTCCTTGTTACCGTAACTTTGCAAAAAATGTGATCGTCCGGTCGTCTCGGTATTTTGCCTATGTTTGTTGGCCACGTTGATCGAGGGCTCCCCATGGCAGGCTACCATGTTGGATAACACCTCGTGGGATGTTCTTCTAGAAACGCAGAAGAAAACGCTCACAGGTCACAATCTACAGTCGGAGTTACAAACCCGGCCGGCACCCTATACGTCCCCGGCGCATGCAACGTTCAACTAAACTATATATATAGAAGAATGGTGTGACCCTGTGTGCACTGTGTTACTCACAGAAGGAAGATACATATACAGAGAAGGCAACCTCCGATCCCTACATGATCGTGGAGAGGAGGTGCCGTGAAGCTAGCCGGCTACACCCTCAGGACTAGGTCTTGCCGTTACACCCGTGGATAACTCATACACATATACATGATAATGATACAACTCAACCTCCCCCACTAGTAGAAAAAAGGTCAAACATGAAGCACATTAGTGCCTTTTATAAAAAAATCGACACTAATGTGATCAATATTGCCGGTTCGAATGGCTATGCATTAGTGCCGATTCATAATGAACCTTTAGTACCGATTCGTGCCACGAACCGGTACTAAAAGGGTGGTGGCAGGCTGGCGTCAGGCCAGGCCCCACGAGCCCTTTTAGTGACGGTTTGTGACGGTAGTAAAGGTCTAACCTATAGTACCGATTTGCGTCATCAACCGGCACTACAGAGTCTTAACCTATAGTCTCGATTGAAGACACAAACCGGCACTATAGAGCGGGTCTAACCTATAGTACCGATTTGCGTCATCAACCGGCACTACAGAGTCTTAACCTATAGTCTCGATTGAAGACAGAAACCGGCACTATAGAGAGCAGTTTTCAAACTCTACCCCACCTGTATCGCCATTTCAGTTTTGAAAAAAACAAAAGAAAATGATAAAAACTTCAAAAAATAAAATCCTTCGAGAGGTAGTTATATTACTACATCTACTAGTTAGGAAAATTTGAAAACTTAAATTTGGACATGTTTTACAAAAAATGTAGGGAAAATGTAAAACGGCTATAACTTTTGCATACGATGTTGGAGAAAACGTATAATATATAAAAAATTCAGCACGAAAATCCGCATCCGATGAAGACCGCCTACGGCCTGTTTGGAATTTTTTAGAATCCTCAAATTCCAAAAGGAAAAAAAGATATGGTTAAATTTTAGTTTTTTTAAAAAAATTGGTTAAATCTGGTCAAATTACTTATTCAAAAAGTATTATTTTTACTACATAATTATTCAAGAATATTAGTGTTATTAAATAATTATTTTAATTTTTTGAATTTTGGTCAAATTTGGTCAAACTGTCAAACTATGGTCAAACTTATTCAAGAAATATCAGCGTTACTAAATAATTACTATTTTTTAGAATAATAGTTTCAAACTCAAACGGTGAAATGTTTGACTTCATGCTCAAGCTAAACTCCTAAAGGTTAATAGGATTAACATCTTACTATTGTCAGGAAAACAACAAGTGCAGACTTGAAAACGAAGGAGAATAGAACCCGAAAGTTAAGCGTGCTCGGGCTGGAGTAGTGAGAGGGATGGGTGACCGGTTGGGAAGTTAAATGATTTGGAATAAGTGATCCACACTTGAATAGTTAAGAGAGGTGATTAGAGACTAAATCATCAAATAATTTATAAAAATTTAAAATGTTTTTCCAAAATTTTCAATTTTTTTAAAACCTTTAGTACCGGTTGGTAACACCAACCGGTACTAAAGGTCCCCATATCAGGGCGTGAGCTCACGCCACGTGGTGACACTTTAGCGCCGGTTCGTGCCGAACCGGTACTAAAGGGGGGGGCCTTTAGTGCGCACATTTTAGTGCCGGTTCCATAACCGGCACTAAAGGCCCTTACAAACCGGTTTTAAAGCTCCGTTTTCTACTAGTGCCCCCCCTCCCCCAAGTCTGAACGTCATTAGGAAGGACATTCAGACTTATTCGCAAAAAAGGAAGGACATTCAGACTGGTTTTAAACTCACAAAACACCGATGACGGGAGCCTCTTGGTAAAGATGTCTGCAAACTGTGAGGTTGTAGGGACGTGAAGAACTTTGGCTTCACCGAGGGCCACGCGGTCGCGAACAAGGTCGCGAACAAAATGAAGATCACTTTAGTGCCGGTTCCATAACCGGCACTAAAGGCCCTTACAAACCGATTTTAAAGCTCCGTTTTCTATTAGTGCCCCCCTCCCCCAAAGTCCGAACGTCATTAGGAAGGACATTCAGACTTATTCGCAAAAAAAGAAAGGACATTCAGACTGGTTTTAAACTCACAAAACACCGACGACGGGAGCCTCTTGGTAAAGATGTCCGCAAACTGTGAGGTTGTAGGGACGTGAAGAACTTTGGCTTCACCGAGGGCCACGCGGTCGCGAACAAGGTCGCGAACAAAATGAAGATCAATCTCCACATGCTTCGTCCATTGGTGTTGCACCGGGTTGGACGACAATGATCGCTCGACGTGGGAGGCGATGAAGCTCGGCAAGGAGCTGGCGTAGCCAACCGGACTTGGCAACAACGTTGGGCACAGCACGATACTCCACCTCGGCATTGGAACGAGAGACTGTCTGATGTCTCTTGGACGACCAGGAGACCAGGTTGGAGCCGAGAAAGACGCAGAAGCCGGAGGTAGACTTGCGAGTGTCGGGGCAGCCGGCCCAATCAGCATCGCTATAATAAACAAGATCATGTGGAGAGCCGAGAAAGACGCAGAAGCCGGGGGTAGACTTGCGAGTGTCGGGCAGTCGGCCCAATCA